GGGGGGGGGTTGTTATGTGCCTGCTTCTCAGCCACAGTACTGCCACCTGGTGGTCAGCCAGGGTGACTCACTCGGTCACAGGCCACACAATTCTCTAGCTCCGAGAGGATTTGTAGTTCATGGCTGCTGTCTGAAGATGCCCTTCCAAGGTGAGTGGAATGCACCCATTGTCTCCTTGTTGGATACACATCAGCATCTTCATTACCAGTGAGCAAGCATCTCCCTCCGGTTGGCCTTTACAGTCAAGCCCTTGAGAGCTGTTCTTGGATTGCTTGCTCTTCTGAGATGAGGCTACTGTGTCCACCATCAATGGTGTCTCTTTGGATACTTTGTGTCATTGAGGATTTGTGTGCACCTGTGAGAAACCCGTTATACATTTGTATGTAATTTGTTTCGTTTTCTGGTTCCTAGTTCAATTTCGACAATGTTCTATTGTTTTGCATTTATTTTATGTCCTTTTGCATATTATATTAACCTTTTTTGTTTTTGTTTTAGGGGACACTTAACAAATCCACTAGTTCGAGAAGCTTAAAATCCCTTGGCCCAGAGAACAGTGAAACTGAGTTAGAGAGGATTTTACGTCGCAGAAAGGTGACGGCAGAAGCAGATAGCAGTAGTAAGAAGCCTCTTGGAATTCTCCACCACACTTCTCTTCTTCTTTAAACCCCTTTAACACGAGATCATCTTTCCTAAATTAGCATTCAATGTTTAGGTTTTTTTGTTTGTTTGTTTGGTTTTTGTTTTTTTTAATGTGAGTGAGAAGTAGTGACTGGACAAAGAGTGTCTGTGGCGCCTCCTGGATGTTTATGTAGCCATCAGCATCATTCTTGCAGGTAACCAACCAAGCATGTGTAGATCTGACCTGGTTAGCATGAGACACCCAGGGCAAAGCCCCATATAAAGGCATTCAGGGTGGGTGGTTTTCATACATGTGTACAACGTATTTTCATCATCTTCACCCCAGTTTCCTGTCCCTCTCCCCTCCACCTATATTCATTTTCCAGCTTGTCACCCTTCTACTTTCATGGAGTTTTGTAGTTTGGCTGTCCACATGTCTCATTACCATTGTGTACAGGGGCATCAGGGTTATTTACAGGAACACAGACAGCTCCTTCCCCAGGAGTCTCTAACTGCCAGTAGCTCCTTAGGGAGGGACGGACTGCAAACCCTTCCCCATCTGGATGGATTTTGTCAACAACACATCGCCAGGTAGAGGTTCTGGAAGCAGGGCACCTGAGTTTCAGTCCCAGCAGGTCAGTTGCCCATTGCTTGTTCTTAAGCTACTTTTCAACCTTTATGTGCCTCTGTTTTTTCTTCCTGTGCCTCTAATGGCTTTTGGCATTATTCCCAAGATGAAGTAAGCCTACTGCCCCCGACTCTGCCTGGCACACTTGGCAGTTTAGTGGGAATTACACCTCAGTGACTACAGACACAGGGAAATTGCCTTCATTCTTCATACCCTTCCATTCATGAATCTGACTTGTGAGCCACTGAGGGAGGGACTCCAGCTCTGCCACCAACTGTGAGCTTGCCGTCGCCCTTAGGTGCTTGAGTCATGTCATCACCCGTGTAGACCTTGGTTAGATGCAGTTGTTGGAATGGTTTTGGTGATGGCAATTAACCAAAACCTTTATGAAGGCTTCCCATCGGAGCTAGCCAGGAAGCTGGCTCTGAAAAAGCACGGCAAAGGAAGACAGCAACCAGAAGTAACGAGCTGAGATTTTTTTTTTTTTTTTTTTTTTTAGACTCAACTTGATCAAAAACAGTCCATTGGAACATTTTAAATCCATAAAACATTGAGTCATGGTGACCAACTTGAAGTTGTAAGAATTTGTTTTAAAGACAATTTGTTTTGCTATGTAGCTTAGGCTGGCCTTGAACACATGCAACCCTCCTGCTTTCAGCCTCCCTAGGGCTAGCATTATCGGCATGACCCACCCTGCCTGGATGAACATGTTAGAATATTCACAATGGAATTTTGGTGGTCAAGCTCTGCTGTACATGGGGATTTGCTCTACTGAGTGATTCCTCTGATCAAAATTGGGCAGGTAAGCCGCCCAACTTCTAGTAAGCATGTGAGTGATCTGAAGAGATAGTTAACTACTCTCCGAGTTCAATCCCCAGAATCGGCACTTTCAAATCCATGATTTGTAATCCGGTGGACACAAGTAGATCCCCACGCTGGACAGCCAGTTGAGCCTTCAGAGTGAGCTCTAGGACAGTAAAAGACCCTACTTCAAAACACAAGGAATGGTATTTAGTTTGGTCTGAAAACTCTAATGATAAATCTTACATAAGGACTTCCCACCTAGCAAATGACCCCAAAGGAAATTAGAATAAAGATAAAAATTAAATAGAGTTGGGGGCTAGGGATATAGCTTAGGGAGTAGAGTATTTGCCTATAGAGTATGCAAAGCCCTGGGTTCGATCCCAGGAACCATACAAACAGCATGGTGGCACAGGTCTGAAAGCTCTTTGGAGGTAGAGGCAGGAGGATCAGAAGGTTGAGGCTAGCCTCAGCTACATAGTGGAGGCCAAGTGGAGGCCAGTCTAGGCTACATGCAAGCCTGTTTCAGTGTTTTCTTCAAACCATGAACAAAGAAATCTGATCTGTCATTGGTGAAGGAGACGGTCAGTACACACTGAGGGTTGAGTTACAATTGAGCAGAATTTTTTTTGAGTTTCTTAACAGCCAGGGGGAAAAAAAGGAAACATGAAATATGACAAGTTTTTGCTCATTATCTTTAACAAACAAAACCCATTTTCCAAGCAACAAGCAGACAGAGTTTGTCATGTGAAAATCTCTCTAAATCTCATGAAATGAATACATGAAAATTCCATGAAGCAAGAGCAAGGAAGCAGTTAAGCCTGCCAGGCGCATGACAGGAACCAAGTGACAGATAAGTGATGCACAGGCTTGGGCCTCTTACATATGACCTTTGACATTGCCCTTCCACATAAGGGAGAGAACAAGCTGAGTAGCTGGGCTACTCCAGGAAGTAGCTGGGCTTTGTAGACCCAGCCTCAAGATATTGGGCATCTTGCTTTGGATGCTTTGTTTTCCTGGAACTTGCTGCTGACACACACACACACACACACACACACACACACACACACACACCAGCCTGGTAGCCTGCCAAACTGACATGTCAGGGAGCAGCAAGAGGTCCTTGGGAAGCATTTGGGTGCAGTAATCACCATCAAAAACACTATGCCTTCTTCATTTCTTTTTTGTATGTATGGAAAACATGAGCCCAGCTCACTGCCCTCCTTTTTTAGTAGCTTCAGATGTAGAAATAAGCAGCAAGCTTTGACCTATTCAGGAAGAGATCTTCTGACAAGGACAGACTGCTTAACGCTGTCTAGTGTTACAGTTGAGTTACCAAGGACAAAACACCTGAGATGAGGCAAATCTTGATTAGACTTCATATCCCTATTTCCCAGAAGCCTCCTTGCTTGACCTTTCTGCCCTTCTCTCTGTCTTCCGTATCCCCATGCAACACAAGGCTTACTGTAGCTGGATGGAGAGGGCCTTTCTACCCAGAGCACCCAGGATGACACCACCCTGCCTACCCAGATGAAGTCAGAAAGTCAGATATCCGTCACCAGACAAGAGTGGGTCTGTGTCTTGGAGTCCGGCTAAGGGAGGAGTCCAGTAGAATTGCTGAACAAATTTTTCAGTCCCTCTTAGATGGGTTTTCCAGATATATCTGTTGTCACATGAAAGAATGCAACTCCCAGCTAAATTCTGTTAGGATCTACTAACATTTTCTATCGTGTAATACTAATTTGGAAGATTTTTGCTTGTTTGTTTCTTGAGACAGGGTCTCTATGTAGCTCTGGGTCACCTTGAACTTGGTGTATAGTCAAGAATGACCTTGAACTTTTGCTCTTCCCGCCTCCACCTTCCAAGTATTAGGATTGCAGGTACATGCACCATGCCCAGTTTACACTGGAGATGGAGCCCTTGACTCCACTCATGAACACTTCTTCACCTGGGCCGTATCCCAGCCCCATGACACTCCTCCCAAGTCAGTTCTCTCCTCAATGGTGCCCTTCAAGGTTGCCTTCTAACTTTATTTTGACATTATTTAATTTGAATATGTGTGGCTTGTTTAGTCAGTTTCTCTGTTAAAAGCATTCCTTCTGAAGTTCTAAGATAGGCATACTTGGAGGCACACTACCTAGGGAAAACTCAGGGCAAGGCTTAGCTTCGGCCCGGGAGTTCTAGTACACTGAGCCAATAATTTCAGTAGCAAGCCCCATTGTAGTCATTAAATCCTGTCCCAAAGAGCAGCAGAGACCAGAAGGTAAACAGCCCAGACTCTTTGCCACTTAATTTTTATAATCTTGTGTCTGTATTTTTAAGAGGCAATAAATCCACTTACTGCTCATTCACATTAAAATGAAAATGTTCATAAAAGCTGTTGAATGCTCAAGAAGTCTTCATGAGCCTTTTAGAAAGACCCTTTTGACATTGGTCCATTTTCTGTTTAAAATGCAAAGCTGAGTTTTCGGAAGAATTAACTCTTGAGAGGCAAAATGGTTCAAACAGGGCTGTCAGAAAAGCCATATTTGGAAAGAAGAAAGAGTTTCCACAATTGCAGTATTGCTAAGGACTGGCAAGTGGAGGGAGCGGGGCCTGGGATTTTGTGGCCTCTTAAATGTCTGCGGACAATTTCCCAGCATGGTTCAGGTGCACTGAAAGGTAGAGTTGCCCCCAAAGCAAAGTAGACTTCTAGTAGGAGCTTTTATTTATTTTTTTCTTTTAGCATGTACTTAAACTTTTTAACCAACTTGGCCTTTTTGCTTCCTGTGGCCTTTTTCAGCTAATCTTTCATACCATTGATAAGCATCACACAGAATTATTAAACTTGAGGTTATGTGTTTGGTTTTAAGGTCCTACCGGGATATTAGCCACCTCAGAGTCCAAATCCATGCCAGTGTTGGGTTCTGTATCCAGTGTAACAAAAACAGCCTTGAACAAGAAAACTCTGGAGGCAGAATTCAACAGCCCGTGTCCCCTAACACCTGAGCCAGGTGAAGGGCCCCGTAAATTGGAAGGATGCACGAATCCCAAGGTTACGTTTCAGTAAGTAACAATGCTCTTTATTAAGTAGAACGTAGATGCATCTGTAATGACTAACATGCATTTCTTTGATCTGTTGCTCTTCAAAAAGGCTTCGATGTGGCCTGACAATCCCCCTTCCCTCTCCTTTGAGCCAGCCAGCTTCTGCTTCTGGGCTTCCAGATTTTCTTCTGCTCCAATGTAAACATCATACCTGCTGAACGGGCTAGCCATTGGGTTCTCCTCCTACACCAAGAATTGAGCTGGCTGATCCTTCTGCACTGGAAGACACCTGTCTTTAGGCTGTCACTCTTATCGGCCCCCTAACCTGAAGAAGGAACTAGATCTTTCTGACTCCTTTGGAGCCTGCATTTGTAGAGCCTCGTTTTCTGGCCCTTGGAAGATGTGCCTTCATCCTGTTCTTTCCAGAGACTGACTGTGCCACATACAGGGTTATCTATAGAGACCAACTTCCAAGTGGCACTTTGTCAGGGTTAATCCGGCTATTGACCGTGTTGCAGACCAGTGTAGTAGAGATCAATTTGTTTTATAACAATGGCAGGCTCCATTTGAAATTAGTCTACACTTGTGCACTAATTCTCTTGCCAGGATGTCAGCTAGATTGTCACTTAATGAAAAGGAAGAGGTGAGGCCAATCAGATCAGCCGAATCTTGTAATCACAGTTAATTAAACCTCTGATTTCCTGTTCTGTCAAGAGAGAAAGAGCCCCTCCTTTGTAGTTTTAGCTGTCTTAGCTTAAAAGGTGAAACCTGGACAAATGAAGTTGAAATTCAATTTAGATCTATTTTTGCCAACTGGTATTTTCTTCCTCTCATGCACGTCTCTCGCTGGGGCTGTTGAGATCACCCCCCCCCATCTCCTCTGGGACAAATGGCCCTCTTTGCTGATTTACAGTCTTATCTAATTTCATTGCGGATTTTAAAAGCATGTCTTCTCACAGTTCTGTTGCCTTTCTTTGCCGGGAGTCGTCTGCACATCTCCCAGAAAGATGATCTGTAGTCACTCTTTGCCTTTGCTATTAAGTTTGTTTAACACCTAATTTGACATCAGCAATCTGGCAGCATTTGAACCAATATCCAGACATAAAAGCAATTTGGCAGAGACAAGTTAGTTTCTGAGAAATGCTTCAGTATGGGTGTATAGATTTTTTTCCTCCTCCTCACCATTTTGCACAGATAATCTTAATCAGAAAATACTGCTACTCATTCCTCCTTTTGTCTGTCTTTTATTCTCCAGAAGTAAGTGGAAATTACATTTCCAAGAAAGGAAATGAAATAATTGCAGGCCCAGGGTCTGCAGAATGTGTGCTGAATTGACAGTGAAAAGGATCAGTGTGTTGACAGAGAGATGTTAGATGCCAGGAAGGCCGACCGTGGAACTCAATTTATTTCTCATCTCGCTTGTTCAATGACTGTTTAAGAGACGTGTTGCAACTTAATTTACCTACTTAAAGCACTAATCTAAGTATTATGTGTGGCTGTGTTAACTTTTAAACTTTGTAACCCAATGCTTGTGTCTTCCATTCTTCGGTTTTTAACAACCAGTGCCGAGTATGTTCACATTGACAGTTGTTTAGAACGGAAGAGTGTGCCCTCTTCTCAAGCCCCATTGCTCCAGTGAGCTAGGACGACGAGCTGAGAACTCTGTGCATGTGCAGGCCCATCATGTAGTTCCCTTCACTCACGTTGTAACTTGGTTTTGAAACAGCGGACAGGCTTAGCTGCAGGTTCTACAGGTGAAAACCCATGTTATCAGCCAGTAACCAAGGGACTGTTAGGAATCAGAGGGTTTTATTTTCAGGGCTTTTGAGGCTTTGACTAATAAATTCATTCAGTTATACTAACCCCTGTGGTTGTTGCAACCACCTTGCCCTATCTCTTAGTCTTGAGCAAGTGGGACACTTAGACATGAGATTGTGTGTGTGTGTGTGTGTGTGTGTGTGTGTGTGTGTGTGTTAGTTCAGTATGCAATGCCATAGTGTGTGTGTGTTTGTGTGTGTGTGTGTTAGTTCAGTATGCACATGCCATAGTGTGTGTGTGTTAGTTCAGTATGCACATGCCATAGTGTGTGTGTGTTAGTTCAGTATGCACATGCAATAGTGTGTGTATGTGTGTGTGTGTTAGTTCAGTATGCACATGCCATAGTGTGTGTGTGTGTGTGTGTGTGTGTGTTAGTTCAGTATGCACATGCCATAGTGTGTGTGTGTGTGTGTTTGTTAGTTCAGTATGCAATGCCATAGTGTGTTTCCCCCCCCCCGCGTGTGTGTGTGTGTGTGTGTGTGTGTGTGTGTGTGTGTGTGTGTGTGTGTGTGTTTAGGTCAGAAGACAAGCTCAGGTATCAGTCTTCACCTTACACCTTGTTTGAGGTGGGCTCTGTTGTTCACTGCTGTGTACACCAGGCTGGCTGGGCTGCAAGTGTCAAGGGATTCTCCCATGTCCACCTCGCGTCAGCATAGAGTGCTGGCATTACAGATGTGTGCTACAGAGCCCAGCTTTCCAGAGGCTATGGGCATCCAAACTCATACTTATGCAACAAGCATTTTATCCTGCATTGTTTTTAAATTTTTAGGTTAGAATTTAGAGTTATGGCTTTCACTGTGACATTTTTCCACACATGTGTCACTGTACCTCTTCCTGTTAATTAACATGTTTTTGCACTCTAGTAACTGACCCTTTTGGTGGGTGGCATCACCACCGTGAGCGGCACTATCAGCTCTTGGCAGGAATCAAGGGTAAGGCAGGATGTCAATCTTAGTGGCCTCTAATGCATGGATCACTCCAACTTGCATGAGTTGTGTGTGTGCACAATACACACGCGTGCACATGCCTCGCTGTGGCCTCCATACTCTCATGCTCTTTCACCTTCCACGTTAGCCTTTTTGGCCTGGTCCAATTGCACTTGCAGCCAGGTGCTCACACTGCCTTCTTCAGGGCCCAGTGCCTGTGCTACCCACTTTACCAAGAACGTCCCTCCCTGTTGAGACCTTCAAGGCAAGGTGAAGAATGAAGAAAGGAAAGACACATGGACAGAAAAGCTGGTGTGGGGTTAGGGTTGTGTGAGTTTTGATGGAGAGCATCAGCTACTCAAAACCTGGAACCCAGCCTGTTTATAGTTTATTACATGCAGCACAGGGGAGGGGTTGGCTAGGACCAATGGGAAGTGTTTATAGACAGAAGTCTCAGGCTGTAAACACTTGGGAGGAGGAAGCTGCAACTGGCAGGTCTGGCACACACTTGCCAACATTCCCACTTAGAAGAAGGATTTACCGTCCCTCTGGGCTTCACCCCAGGGTCTGAGGCATTGGTCCTTGACATGGCCACGGCCATAGTGACAGTATAATACATTCACTCAGGACTTCATTGTTCTTTACACTCAAGGCTGCCTCAGCTTTCCACACTTCCCCCATGGGTACAAGGCTAGCATAGCCCTCACACCCTGAGTTTTTTCCTCAGGGACCATCATCTCAAGGTAGTCTCCCTGACCACTACAGGCAACTTTGTAACCCCATATTCCCCTAAACCTTGATTTTCCACATCCTACCCTGTTTTCCCCACAGTGGTTACCATATACTTTATCACGTAGGTTATTTTTTTTTCTCCTTCTATGGAAATGTAAAACCATATGAGGATGGGATTTTTATTTCTGTTTTATGTATTTGTGGTATTTCACACACCAGGAATAGTGCCTGCTGGATGGTAGGATCTCAATAAATGGGTGAATAAACAAACATATTCTTTAGTATTAGTAAAGAGGCCAAATATCAGCTGATTAGAATTAGCATACACCCGGCATTTCTATCATACAGCCGTCAGACACACAGGCTAGAGCTTAAGACTTTCTTATTGGTATGTTAGTTGGATTTTTTTTTTTTTACTTATTTTTGTTGTTGTTGGTGGTGGTGGTGGTGGTGTTGGTTGGATTCTTTAGTTCAAGAAAGCATTTTTGAAAGGCCGAGGAATTGTTTGCATCTAGCTCAGTACTATACATCTACTCTGTTATTGTACCTGCTCAAGATTAAGTCAACAGACTCTACAGTACACAGGTGTAGCAGAAAAGCTCCAGCCATGCTCGTCCAGTCAGCTCATTGGGGGCTGGAGTGCTGGCTAACTCACCAATGGGTAACTTAGAATGCAGAAGTAGACATTAAGGGATTTCTGCATAGAAAAACTAAAAACCTTCAAGCCAAAGTGTAATCAACATGCATGGATTTCAAACCATTAATAACTCTTGTCTATAAAACCAGGCATCTATTAAATTATGTCCTGGGAACCTATCAAGAAATAAGAGTTTCAATCTTTAATTGTAAGGATTCATTAAAATGAATGACACATATACAAAGTGAGGGGTTTAAGGGGGGGGGAAAGAAAAAGATAACCGGAGCTTGGGGGAGTCTAATTTATTCTGCTTCTATTTTAATGATAACTGAGAAAACAAAGAGAGGAAGGAAGGCAAGCAGGAAGGAAGGGAAGGGAAGGGAAGGGTGGGGAAGGGAAGGGGGGGGGAGGGTCGGGTAGGGAAGGGAATGGGAGAGAAAGGAAGGAAAGTGGAGGGGAGGGGAGGGGAGGGGAGGGAAGGGGAAATCTCTGTTCTTGTTTATAATGGGCCATTTCTATCTAATTCTGTTGACTTGAATCTCAGAGTTACTTTGACTTTCATTATCTTGAATGTCTGTAACTGGGCTAAGAATTATTTTGGAACCTCCCTTTATGCTAAGTAGAAAAGAGCTGACTCAGTAAATGCAAGTGTCAACCTGGTGTTTATATCCGTGCTCCTTTTGGCTGACACAACTCAAGTATAGTAAGCTTCCTTGACTCAAGCTAATCAACAAGTGGGGTGTTCAGTATCAAAAAGTTCTACGTTATAGAGTTGTGTAAAGATGCTGCCTTCTGACAGCACAAAGCATTCTGAAACAGCTACTCTAGTTAGCTAGTAGTCTTAAAGAATGGTTGGAGAGAGATTATTTTAATTTCCCATATCTCTAATAACAGGGCTTTCTTCAAGA